ATCATTGCACTCATATGTCACTGAGTCAACAGAGCACAGTCACACAGCAGAGCTGACACGCTGGCCAAATGAAGATGCAGAGTCGTGCCCTGATAGAAATGTATGGACATGTATGGAGAGAAGTTCGAGTTAATAGATCATCCACACACTAAGCCACTCTCATTTTTTTTCTGTCATGCCTTTCTTTTACTGATCATAATATTTACTGCACTACCTTGGAAAGACTGTTATGAAATTTCTCAGTGATGTGCTCATGAACTGTTGAACTGCACTAATAAAACTGTGTGACATACTTCTGCTGGAAACTTTTATCGAAGGCACCTTAACAGCAGCATGAGTGTAAACATTTCTGGACCCAGCGCTGATCAAACATAAGATTGAGCATCAGAGCTACGTAGGAGTACACACTCTGTCTGTGCCTTGCTATATACACTCGGAGTGGCTAGCGGGCATACTGTCTTTGGTAATGTGTCAGGGGTGTACTGAGGAAACAGAGTGAGAGGCAGAGATGGGTCTCAGAGAAGCTCTGGGCCTGTTTACAGTAAACTGCTGAGTGGCTTACATTGTGTTCCTTTATGTCTGTGGCTCACAGGGGGATCGGAGGGTTCACTTGTGCAAGCAAAGGTCACACATACTAACACACACACATGCATCACACACACAGTGCATTTGATCCCATGTGACAGATATACTGTATCTTTGGTGGCAGAGCAAAGCACATAATGTATGAATGCAAAAACAGTATGTGCAGCTACACAAGAGGGTTAAGGCAGATAGAATTGGGAACTATGTCATAATAAACATTTCTTTACTACAGATTTTGCTTTAATGTAGCTATTGCTTCAGTATTTTTGGTTGTATGGAATGACATTACAGGGAAAATTGCACAACAGGGAGCAGGACTGCTTAATGGCAACATTGGAATCATAGGATTGTTGAATCAGTGTGATTTATCTTATTTTTCAGGTATTTAATTTGCTTGATGAGCCCAAAACAGACAGTCTTATCTAGTTATATTATCTAGAACAACTCTCTAGTGAGCTTCAAAGTTCATTATTGACCTTGGAAACTGTAGTTTGACCATAAATTTAACTTAATGATGCGTTGAACTTTAAGAATAAACAGTAACAGAATCAACAATAAATCTAGCATCTCTGTGAGGTTGTATTTAGGCACAGCAATGCTATAAGCTAAATGCTAATGTCAGCACAATAACATGCCCACAGTAACAATCCTAACACGCTGCTGTTTAACAAGAATGGTTACCATGTTCATGTTCACCTTTATATGGTGCATTCCATTTGCACTGGGAAACTATTATATATATTATATATATATATATATATATACATATATATATATTATATCAGGATATATGTATATTTACATTATGCACATATACCACTGGTTAGTTTTTTATTGAGGGGTGGTCAGTATAAATAAGGTTCAGGTTCAGATTCAGGTTACTTTATTGATACCCAAGGGTAAACTAGTTTTGCAGTGAGAGTCAGAACATCCATCACAGTTTGAACAGTCAGAACAAAACATAGAATGTAGAATACAAGAAAGAAATTTAAAACGACAGAAAGTGCTGCAGTCCATAAAATAAAAGCATGAAAATAAAACTTTCTATCAGGGTGTGTACATTCACACATCATAATAAAGTACATTTTATGGAAAATCTATGGAGTAATTGTTAACGGATGTAAAAATTACATCGAATAAAAATTTAAAAGTAACACTTATTATATACTTATATACTATATTCACAGGTTTAAGTTAAAGATCTAAGACTTTTCTGAAGCACTTAAAGCTCTCGGTATATTTCTCTCAAATTTTGGTCACAAATTTGTTCAAATCTGTGTTAGTGAGCATTCACACATCATCACTACACAGGTATGCCTTGGGAAGGTAACAATAAAAGGCCACGCTAAAATGTGCAGTTTGATCACACAACACAATGACACTGATGTCACAAGATCTGAGGGGGCGTGCCATTGGCATGTTGACTTCAAGATTGTCCACCACAGTTGTTGCCCGTGTATTGAATGTTTATTTCACTGCCATGAACTGTCTCCGGTGTCATTTCCGAGATGTTGGCAGTACATTCAACTGGCACACACTTGCTCAGGACCTCCACATCCAGTGTCTTCACCTGCGAGATTGTCTGCGAGCAGCCACCCAGACAGCTGATACATTGATTGGTTTGCAGACCAGAAGAATTTCTGCACAAACCATCAGAAACTGTCTCAGGGAAGTTCATCTGCATGCTCATCGCCCTCATTAGGGTCTTGACCTGACAGCAATTTGTTGTTGTAACTGACTTTAGTGGGCCATTGCTCACCTTCGATGGAATCTGGCACTTTGGAGAAGATGAATCCCAGTTTACACTGTACAAGACAAATATGTGTGTATGGCATTGTGTGGGCAAGCCGTTTGCTAACATTGATAACAGAGTGCCCCATAATGAAGGTGGGGTTATAGTATTGGTTGGCATAAGCTAAAGTCAACGAACACAGATGCATTTTACTGATGGCAATTTGAATGCACAGAGATACCGTGATGAAATCCTGAATCCATTGTCATGCCATTTATCTGCCGCAGTGACCTCATGTTGTAGCATGATAATGCATGGCCCCATGTTGCAAGGATCTGTACACAATTACTGGAAGCTGGAAACATCCCAGTTCTTGTATGGCCTGCATATTTATTAGACATGTCACACAGTGAGCATGTTTGGGAGGCTCTGGATTGGTGTGTACAGCACACTAAAATGTGCATTTTGATCACATAACACATTGCTACAGATGTCGCAAGTTTTAGAGAGCGTGCCATTGACTTCTTAACTGCAGGAATGTCCACCAAAGCTGTTGTCCGTGAACGTAACGTTCATTTCAGTACCATAAGAAGTCTCCAAAGTCATTTCCCTGAATTCGGCAGTACATCCAACCAGCCTCACAAACACACAAAGCGGTTATTGTGACAAGCTGCTGTTAGGTCAAGACCCTGGTTAGGATGTTGAGCATCCAGACAAGCTTCCCTGAGACAGTTCCTGACGATTTGGGCAGGAATTCTTTGGTTGTGCAAACCAGTTAAAGCATCAGCCGTACAGATCTTACAGGTGGATGTGGTTGCCTGAGCAAATGTGGTTACATGTGGTCTGTGGTTTTGAGGCAGGTTGGATTTACTGCCAAATTAACAGAATCAACATTGGAGATTTGGTCGCAAATTTTAACACATTCGGGAGAAATGTGTCTATTGAGTGCATGACAGTGTCTTAGATCTTTAACTTAAACCTATGAAAAATGGGAGCAAAAACAAAAGTTTTGGCATTTAAATTTTTGTTCAGCATAGATAAGACTGCCTGTTTTTGCCTGTTCCAGTGAATTAAATTCCTTCATCACATTGATGCAAGAATCTGGTACAAACCAGATATTTAGATAAAGCAGTCCTGCATTGATCATTGCCCACAATGCCCAACACACCTGCCATAATTAAAGGATAGACACCATGCCTAATTTTAACCAAATCATACAGCCCACAACTTCAGGGCTTTGTGTTGGTCTGTCAGCATATTTTAAACTATACAACTAAAAACATACAGTCATGACATATTTTTTCAGCTTTCCCTGATCACCAGATGGCTTGCGTTCATAACTGATTTATCAAAAAGGGATAATCAAATATTGAATGACTGTGATTGTCAAAACACTCAATCTTCTCCTGTTATGAACCCCAACCTGCTGCCACTCAAGGGAGTTCAATTATCTGAAATTCCTGCAGGAGCCAGGTCTGTGAAAACCTGTACTCATTTGGAAGTAAGAGAATGGACAGCTCATACATTTTTGAATCATAACCACTTGACCCACTCCAGTGGAGCGTACTTGAGTCATCTACAATACGAGCACAGACGTGATGATTTATACTACTACTACTCCAATGGAATATAAAGTCGGTATATCTTAAATCCATTACATGGGCGACAAAAGATGACATACTCTCTTGGCTTTTCTACTGATATTTGGAGAATCTTCAGACTTTTAGCTCATGTGCATAACCATTCCCCTTGATGCATTTGCGTGAGGACTCGTTTCTGGGGTTGTGGCAGTGTGATTGTGTTGGACTCTGCCGTGTGTGTTTGGCAGAGAATGGGTCTCGCTGAAGGCATCAGAATGAAAGACTGTCATGCCAGCGCTGTGTTGTCCCACTGCAACTATCTCTGGCACAGTGGGACCTGGCATACAGTTTGCTTTGATTTCAGGCATCTGAACGATACATTTCCCCAGACAAGAGAGTGAGATTGATTCACTTGGTACGAGTTGGTCTGGTTGAGTCATATCTAATTACTGGAGATCCATTGATCGCCTGTGTCACTGAGCAGAAAACCATCCTGATGTATGCCATCAAAAGAAGAAGTGAGATGGGTCATGAATATTCATATGTGTGCAAGTCGGACACTCTGTCAAAAGGGTTTATCTTTGGTGAGAACAAGAGGGCGCTTGAGCCGACACACAAAGGACAGTCTTGCGTCTGTGAATTAGCCATTTACACCACACATACAATATGGGAGATGGCAGGGTGTCTGGTTTTCAGTGTCTTGTGGCGATGCCTTGTGCTCAGCTCGCGTTAAAGGACTGCAAATGTGAAATAATCCCTTTGTCAACCCTCATGTGAAGGTCATCCCCCTTACAGTCTCTTCTCTTCAATTCCAAGTGCAGTTCTTTATGCACATCATTCCTGTCATAATATTCCACATCACTCCTATAAAACAGCCAAGGAGCTAGCAAGCTAAGCACAGTGTAAAGTTAGATCTCCTGGCTTCGTAGAGGAGTAAAAGTCTATCTGTGTTTCAGAGCTCATTTTTCACACACTTTAATAATTCATGAGTAATAATTTCTCAGACGTTAAGAAACGGAAATGAATCATGTCTGCTCACCGTCCTGACCTCTCATCCTCCCCTGACCCCAAATGTTAACTATTCCTGTCCTGTCTCCTTCCAGGAGGACTACGACCGCCTGAGACCGTTGTCCTACCCGATGACAGATGTCTTCCTCATATGCTTCTCTGTGGTAAACCCTGCCAGTTTCCAGAATGTGCGTGAGGAATGGGTGCCTGAGTTGCAGGAGTATGCTCCCAGTGTCCCCTACCTGCTCATTGGTACCCAGGTCAGTCCATGATGCCAGAGGTCTTCACACTCTGCTTCAAATTACTCCATACATTAGATTTTTATTAACATATATGCCTAGATATTCTGGTCTACAATAAGAACATCTGTACCCACAATATATGAACATTATATGATAGAAACTATCAGGTTCTGGCCTACATTTTACATCCAGATTTTTAAAGGAAAATATAAGACTCTGTTGTGTTTTTGCTATTGTCTCTGTTGAGGGACACACACTTCAGCTACAATGTGAAGACAATGAGGCCACAAAGGCCAACAGAGCAGTCTCTTATTCAGAGACAAATATGCATTGAATGCACCTTGGTTGTGTTGCCATGGTCATGTTTCCAAACCCTGAAGGGGGACTGCATAATGTGCAGTAGATATAAATGGAGTATAACACAACCTCACAAAAGAAAAGAGCAGTTTCTCACTGTATAGACCGCAAACTGTTAGTTGTCAGAACATTGTCAGACCTTTTATCATTTCAGTCAATTTTCAAGCAAAATCATTATAAAAAGAATATCTTTGGGTTTTGGACTGTTGTTCTTTACAAAATAACACATTTAATATGTCTTCTGAGCTTTGGCAAATATAATTGGCCTTTTATTCAAATTTCTAATACTTTGGATGGTGACTCTCAGTAACGTTATTTGAGGTTTCATGGCACCAAACATCATATAAACACAACAAAACTGAAGACACAGATTGAGCCTTAAGAGCAAAAAACACAAAATAAATAAAACTCCATACAGGCAACAGGCAGTAAATTCACCAATTAATTCAACAAAACTTTCTGTAAACACTGATGAAGTGGCTCACTATCTATGCTACACTTGGGATGGTGCTCTAAAAATCTGCCCAGCAACACCAGAAGTAAATGTCTTGCCACTCTCAGCCACCTGATGGTGTATGTTACACCACCACCTTAGATGTTGGCATTATGTTGTGTAAGTAACATTTGAGACTAGGTTTAGGTTACCTTTTTTGCTGAATGTACTATATGCATTCGTTTGGTTACGTCAGCCATATGAAAAACAGCAATGTGAACTACTATTTATAATAATAATACAATAGTATAAGTATTACTCCTGATATTATTACGGCAATAGACTGTGTATGTAATTCATACTTAAATGTGCATTCATTCATTTTTTGGCTCCTTTGGACCAGTGGAACAGACTTTAAATTTTATCACCTTACAGAATTGTTATGGCTAACATGTTGGCAAAAAGTTACTGCTATTTAGCCATCCAGCAGACACGCAGCAGCATTCATTTGGAGTAGCATTCTGTACCACCTGATGAATGTAAATCTGATATTCACTTTCCCTTTAGCTCTTTTTTTTATGTTTTAATATCTGTCTTTTTAGCCTATAAGTGCTCAATAATGTCTACCAGCTAGTCTCTAACTTTGTCTATGTGTTAATTTTGCTGGAAAAAGAGAGTTTGATGAGACCAAGGATACTGAACTAGAACAGTCAAGTTCTAGGCCTTAAAGCCAAAACAATGAGCTGAAAGGTGCTAAAATGTTTTGTAAAGCTGAGGGGCTTACGACTATAAATGAACCTTTGCAACACTGTAGTGGTCCCCAGTGACATCAATTAATAAACAATGTTTACCTTTTTTCTCCGTTTACTGTGGAGGTGTGTGAGAAAAATTAGTTTTCTTCACGCATCCAAGATAACTCAGCTAGTAACTGTTATACAAATGATCATTTTGCAGGTGAAGTATTCCTTTAAGTAGAAGTGATAAAAAAAAATAATTCAGCCACCACTTATCACAGTCTGAGTTCCCTGAATATGAGCCTTGGCAAAGAAGAGTTATTCATTCAAAAAAAAAAAAAAAAAGGGACAGTCAGTACAAACCTGGCTGGGGACCTCAAGCTGATCTGGCTCACATAAAGGTGAGGTCTGTGGCTTAGTACAGGAGTCCTCACTGGCTGAAAGGCAATAATTAAATCAGATATGTTTAAAGCAGCAATTAACTTAGGCAAAGATGCTAAAGCTAGGCTTATGTCTTTTGATCTTCAATAGAGGCATCACTACATGGTGTTGATATTAAGAGACGACACTAATCCAAAGCATTAGCTAATTTCTAAAGCCTTAAAACCCATTGCCAATACCATATGTCCTCTTGAAAATGAGCGCTGACTTGTGGGTGATTTTTGGTGTTCCCTGGCAACCAAATGCCAGTGCAGCCAAGGCCCAGCGGTGATGAGGAGGATGGAGTGGGTGTCTGATTTATCTCGTGTCAGCTGATGTTTACTGCCCTTTTATCAGTTCCCATCATAACTCACTCGCTGCTCTTTGGCCGGATGCTGATATGTACACGAGCTTCATAACAGTGAGCTACGCTGACACAAATCACACCAATTGAGAAAAGAGTTAATGAAGGTTGCTCCCAGTGAGATTGTGCAGGTGGATGCATTTATCATAACTGGTTATTACTAAGCTGGGGATGAGTTGTGTGTGCTGAGCATTGCAATGAATAAAAGAAGAGTGAGGAACCTTGTGGTTGGCTGTGAAATGGCTTTGCACAAGAGCAGGAAGTGTGGGCCAACATGGCTTTGTTTCAAAATGAGAAAACACACTGTCAGTTATGCAGCTCTCGTGGCTATGTTTAGAAGCATGGAGAAAAGTGCTGTAATGCCTGAGTTGATGTTGACCAATCGGTAAAGTGAATATAAAACTATGAACAAAGTATTTAATGGACATTCATACTAGTATTAATATCCACGTTGTGAGAGTGACTTAGCTCAGAGGAAGTGTCCCTTATCTCTTTCAGATTGATCTTCGTGATGACCCCAAGACCATTGCCAAACTGAATGACATGAAGGAGAAGCCCATACCCACTGAGCAAGGACAAAAGCTAGCAAAAGAGGTTTGTATTTGTTCCTACTGAAGAAGTGAAGTAACAAGTAACTAGCCAAAGACACTAGAGGCTTATATTTCCACTTTAAGTGTTGTAGAAGTTAGCTGTCAGGTCCAGTTAGATTCCTCTGTCTTGATTTGACCCAGGATCGTCTCTGTAGGAATGTCATTTCCTCAGTGAAATGCCTGGAATCAGACCTCTGTACATTCTTCGCCTTGAAATGAATCCAGGAATACATTCTGGGTCAACATGGATGTCCAGAGGAGTTCCAGGCTGTAGGACGTAGATACCAAATGTGGTCTGTGATTAATTGCTCCTGTCAGGCAGAAACGCAGAATAAAAGTCAAATGTTCAAAACTGACAACCCAGCCTCCTTTAAAAGTTAATATTCATGCAAATTGGCAACATTAGATAGGATTTAGGTGGGATTCATGTCTCATGGAAGTCATTAAGTTTTCTTAAGATACGTTTAAGACAACTGACAATCCCCTAAATTAGAGTCATTTCGTTTAGTGTGAGCAGTATTTTACCTTGGACATTATTACCTACAACTTTGTTGTCACCATAGATGACTTGTTTTTCTTAACATCCCTGTTGAAATTTTGATACATTTACAAGACTTCAATGATGAAATGTAACTAGCCCCAGTTTTTAGCCTTTTGTGTATAACCATTATGTTGGCATGACAGAGCCAAGCATCCATTTTTACGAAACCTGAATACTTGGCAGTATCATTATCATAGCTGTTTGCTAAATATTTAGCTGGAGCCAGTAAGCTTAGCTTAGCATAAACGCTGGAAAAAGGGGGAAACAGCTAGCCTGGCTCTGTTCAAAGGTTGCAAAATAGCCTACCAGCACCTTGAGGCTCACTAATTAATACATTCTGTCTTATTTGTTCAATTTGTAAAACAAATAAATAAGTAAAAATGACTGCCAGGACGTCATTGCTCTGGCCAAGAAATAGTCCCTGCTTCTAGTTTTTATGCAGGGAAACTTTAGATTTGTGCCAAAATGGAAGGGTTGCAGAAATATAATAGGTCGGAGGGACTTGAGTCAGACTCAAGTCACAAATTCGATGACTGTTGACTTAGCTATAGAAAAAACTTGAACCTCAACTTTGACTTTAATTCCAATTACTCGTTACATCAGTCAGACATGAGCCTTTTGACTTGAAAATACCTGATACCTTCCCTAAGCCTAAAGATTTAAAAGTATGTCAAGGTCAGTGATGCTGTATACAACTTCAGCCTACTCTATTACTATTTTACAGCACTTACATTATATGAGACATGACAGAAACATACAAAATTCATTCTGTTTTGATTTAGGTTAATAATGCTAAAATGCAATGTCAGCAAAAAAATTCATGATAAAGTTCAGTTGCAATTGTTTTAACAGATAAATACTATTCTTGAAAAGCAGTCATATTTTTGTGAATATATTATTACGCTGTTGTTAAAAATGGCATTATATTTGGCAGTTTAGAGTGCACTTAAAAAAAATTAACTTGGTTCCACCTCAGATAATATGATTGCCATTGTGACACAAAAGTGACCCAGGCGCTTATTCAGAAACGAGATCACAACATAAGATTGCCATCATGCTTATGTAATAAAGGGAGTGTCTGAAAAGGGCTATAGGAACACATAAGGTCACTTCTTACTGGCTGCAGATACATAAGAGGCATTTCATATACAACTGAACAAAGGCCAAGCTGCCAAATAGAGTACTTTGGCAAGTAGTCTAAAGCTCGCTAACACATTATTTATTGTTTGTTTCATCTATACAAAAAAAGGTTGTTTGCCATTTTACAGGATGTTCGTGAAATATTATGGCATATAACCTCCATAAAATGGCAAATAGATGTATTTACACTTCAGTTTTGTATGGCTTGAACAAATGGGAGATAATATGTTAATTAGTGAGCTTTACAGATGCTGGTAGGCAGATGCTCTTACCTTTAGATGTTAGCCAGGCTAACTGTTCCCCCCTGTTAACAGTCTTTATGCTAAGCTAAGCTAACCAGCTGCTGGCTGTGTTTACATTTACTACAGAAATGCTATTGATCGTCTCATATAACTCTTGGCAGGAAAGACAATCTTTTCCTTTACCTTAACCTATAATAACTGCTAGTTGACCGTTGTATTGTGCTGGATTTTTTTTTTTTTTTTTTGGTCTGACTGTCTTCTCTTCTCATCAGATTGGTGCATGTTGCTATGTGGAATGTTCAGCTTTGACGCAGAAGGGCCTGAAGACGGTGTTTGACGAGGCCATCATCGCAATCCTGACTCCCAAGAAAAAAAAGGGAGCTCTGAAGAGAAGACTGGGACCCCGCTGCATCAACTGCTGTCTGATCACGTGATACATAAAACCGGAGATCATTCAGCAACAAACCATAAACCAAACCTCGACTGGAGGCAAAAGACAGACAAAAGGAAAAAAATGCACAGACAGCAGAGTGAGACAAAAGAGAGGACTGAAAAGGACAAAACAAGAGCCACTTTTAAGCTGCAGGGCTCTTGAAAGGCCATAACTCTCTCCTGCTGTCCAACACAGGTTGAGGATGCAGTTTACTACCAAAGGAGCACAAAACCCAAGTCAGTCTCTTCTTCTAAAAGACTTTTTGCCTCAAAAGTACCATCTTTTATAACCATTTTTAATCATTTTCCTGTACAAAATTGTTGTAAGCTGTCATGCGAAAAAAAAAAATAGACATTTTAAGAGAGATGCTACATTTAAAGAATTCATATCATTTCTCTGGTTTTCAAAGCTAGATTATTGATTTGTGCATTTCTCCATACAAGAGCAGAGAAAGTTTGCAGCTGATAAATAATGAGGGGCTGACTTAAGTGACACTGTGACAGTGGCCAGGATACATTTCTGGACATAAGGGCCCAGTTTTTTTTCTGATTTAAAACTTGTGCTACAAAGGCTCTATTGGCCCACAAAGTCTGGCTCCAATTATTTGTCAATTGAAAATCTGCAAATGAAACCACACAAGGTGCTTTGCGTTGTGTGGGGGACAGCACAAATCAACAATGAGAGTAATGCTGTTCAGACAACATATTTTGGACCTAGAACTGTATTATTTTAAAGTTTTACAGTCTTGTTTTTGCCTTACGAAAACCCTATTATTTTATAGTGTGGCATGCCAAAACATACTGTAAGTTAGGGGCGGAGGTCTTTATCAGGAACTGGAGAGGTCTATTATCCATTTCTAAAATATATATTATCCAGAGTTTATAATTCTATATCTCTAAAATAGAGATGACTTAGTCCATGCGAATATTATTTTGTCAGCTGATGGCTTACTTTTTTTGCTTTTCTGCAATAATGTGTTATCCTTTCATCACCTAAAAGAAGGTTTAGAAGAACAGAAGCCGAGATCCAATCATTTTTTAAATTCCATTATCTCGAGATCACGAGTGAATTGTTATTACAAGATTACGAAATAATCAACCTGTTATCATGAGTAAACAAAAGGTTGTTTCCTCTTATTACTTACAGGTTTATCAGTGCCATGCCAAATTATCTTGTTATCGAGAAATCTGTCTTTTGTTTTCTCAAGATAATGAGTTAATTATCTCATGATCTCGAGATAACAAAGCTCATTTCCTCAAAATAATTAACTCTTGATCTTAAATGAATGGAATAAAAAAAAAAAAATAAGGCCGCTCTTGGCTTCCATACGGAAGAGAGAAGAAAAGGGATCTCATTTCAGAAATGAAACTCTGATTCATATCCAGCATCCAAAGAATCAAATGCACACTTTCATCAAATGCACACTTTCATCAAAATCAGGTGGCTAAGGTGACCCAATACTGTACATCTAATGCACAACATGAAGCACATGTCTGCGCCACTTCATTTGCCGGCACAACAAAGCACATTCCTCTGCTTTTAAACACAGTCCCTTTCCCAGAAATGGCTGATTGAAGCACAGAAGATGCACACTGTTCCATCAGGCACAAGTATGAGCATAGCACACTATCTTAACATGCACAATCATAGTCCATCAAGTCAAATCAGATTTTCACAAAATATTGGAAAGACACTAATTCAAACTGTTTTGAAAGGGGTTGCAGCAGCTGTTCGTATGTTCAAACTTGGCCTAGTTTTAATTAAAGCGTTAAGTAAGTGGAAATCTACACATCACTAAATTAAATTGGGTTACACCACACAACATAGGTCTTACTTTGAGTTTAGTTTCTACTATTTACACCCAGTAACTGTCAGGAGTAGCTGTTTTATAGCATTAGCCAACTGAACCACCTAACGTTAGCTTGCTAACGTTGCCTCGTTTTGAATGAAGAATAAAAGAGGTAGAACATCTGATTTGACACTTCTAAAATCTGTTTAATATTGATGTAAAGTGTCCATTAGAAAGTCTGTTTTACCAAAACAACACCATATACCTCAAATTACAACATATTGTGCTAAAATGTTAGACTAAATGACTAGCTAACATTAAATAAAATTGGTTAGGTTAGCATAATGCAATATTTCCCACTCATTATACATTGTACTAATAACTGATAATTGATGATGTTTCACTTCTGTATGCTTACATTTAAAAAGTATCAGCTCTAACGTTTGATATAGGCTATCACTTGGTCACCTAAACCTGTCATTTTTGGCAGTTTAGTTATAGCCTTGATGCTACAGTGAATTTGCAAATTTCCCTCATGGATAAATAAAGTACTTAGCTACCAACCAATTACTAGTTAAGATATTTCTTAAGTTTTAATACAAATCCCTAATTTGAAACTAGCAACTATTCACTAAAAATTTATACAGGACTTTACACACAAACTTAGTGATGGATTTATGAATAGCTTGTGCAACCCAGTTGTAGAAGTCGGTCTTTCCAGTCCAATTCAATAGAGTTTGAATCAAAAATAATTACCAAATTCAAGTTATTCGGTCCTCTCACGTGACAGCTGTGAGAGGTTTTATATAATCTATGGAAAAAAACATTAGTTCAACCACCACCCATAATCCCATCTTTATAGCACCACTGTAGAAACAGGTTATCCCCTGACAATTCATTGATCCGTGTAATAAAGTCACATTCTATAACATTTCAAATAGAAATCAAGATGATATATGACGTTTACCAGGATTTAGAGAATAGTTAAAATATCTATGAGCTCCAAAAACAATTGTATGCAACAAAGGTATCCAGCCTACATGTCTGTAATACTGTAGGTAATAACGTCAAGGTTGTGATTGAACTTTATTGCAAACCAAACATCAGAAATATCAGCTCTTCTTATTTTTATGCATTTGTTATTGGCTTTTTCTAACCTTTTTTTGAAGATATTAATCAAAGGTGCCAACTCTTGCTAAATGACTTCTGTTAATTTTGTGTTGAGAGTCAGATATGATGATTGATTAAAGCTTTAATGTAAATGGTGCTCCTCCTCTCTGTCCCAGCCTGCGTTGTATAACTGTCTTTCTGAGCAGCAGAGTGGATTTCGGGGTGAACAGCCTTCTCACTCGGACAGTCTTGCTTGCTTACGTTGTGTGAAGGTCCACCCTCAGGATCCAGGACCTAAGTGCCGCAGCCACCAATGCATTCTCCTGTTGATGCTCCTCTCTTCTCAATAAATGTGTTTACTGTGTTAATAAGCTGGCTTGGAGGGTTTAACTTTAAAGCGTCAGATGTGTTGCGAAATGCATTTGTAAAATTAACTTTTGTGGTGTTTATTCATGGAATCAAGGGCATTCATGTTCATTATGGGTCAGACATCACTGGGTTGACTTGACAAATAGGTCAATGGAATTAAACTCTGACTTGTGTTTGAATGAATACACACAAATCCTTTATGTTTATCTAGATATGCTTTAATACGCTTTGTTTAAAAAGTTTACTTTGTCTTGTCAACCTCTTAAAGTTGGTGACATTTCATCAATTTACTCCTAATGCTGTTGCTTGGTCTGAACAAGAATGAGTTGCGTTGATATTTGCAGCATGAGCGCCACTTGCTGGCTACTCTTATAATAACCTCCTTTACTGCAGGAATCTAGTATTGGATCAGGAGGCACCTAAACATGCACACTACTCTTGAGAGGAGTTTCCAGTCTGAGAGATACATCAACCAAACATCCACTGTTACTACTGCGGGTTAGTCAGCTGCCCTTGTTTTACAGTTTAATTACTGTCAGGGCAGATAGCCGCCCACCCAGAGCCTTGTTCTGTTCAAGGTTTCTAACTGTTCAAAGGAAGTTTTTCCTCACTGCCTTCACCAGGTCCTTGCTCATGGGGGAACTGTTTGGTCTCTGTAAATGAAAGCGTTTGGTCTGGACCTGCTCAATATGAAAAGTGTCATCAAATAACTTTTGTTGGAATTTGGCGCTATATTAATAAAAGTTATTCAGTAATCTAACTAGTATTAGGGATAGCAATACCATGAAATTTGGTTTCGTTCTGATACCAAGTTGTTTTTTTTGTTTTGTTTTACTATCCTTGTGCTAATGCTATCTAACCAGATGCATGTTAAAATATATGTTCTTTGTAAAATTTAAATCAGCATACAATGACACAGCATATTTTGGAAGAAAAATAAAAGGTAACAAAATGGGTATCTGCTGAAGAAAGACCACAACCATCCCCAAGTGGAGAAACCACATTTCTCTGATGTAAATGGCAGATACACACATATAAAGACGCAAGGATAATACATATTTCAAAAAGAGTGGATGTTTCCATTGTCTGTCTGCCTGATCGGGTACGCATTATGTCGAGGGATAAGTGGAAGCCCTGGATAGACATAGATGGATTACTGAATGAGCCTACTGGGCACAGGCTCAGGGGCTTAAAGTGTCAAGTGCAAAATGTCACTTAACACGTACTGACCAGGAAGAAACTCAAAACGAGAGATGCAAAGGAACTGCAAAGAGACACAAACTGACCCCCACAAAGCTATACAAAACCAAAAAAATACGTGTTATGACTACAAAGACACACACACACACACACACACACACAAAAGAGGCACCACCACCAAGTCTGTGTTTCTCGCTCCTGTGTAGAAAAGGTGGCGGGGCCTTTTGCATTTGTGCACCCAGGGACCCATTGTCTTATAATCTGCCCATGCTGGTAGATAATGTGCTCCAGGACATGCTATAAAAGTCTGTTTTGTATATTTGGATGACATTCTGATCTTTTCCAGGCCCAGCAGGAAAATACGCAACACGTATCCTCTAAACCCATGACTCGTGATGTGTGATATGCTGAACCGTCCTGTGCATTTGGAACTTACTTTCTGGCTTATTAGACATAAAAGAAGCATTGGACCACACAATCTGTTTGAGCTGAATCCCAATTTGGGCTCTGACTTACAGAGGCTAAACAATGTTAACTACTTGTTAATGTTATGTAAGTGCTGTAATTGTGTGAGATGTCCAGTTCAAGAAAAATAAATAAATAAAAACAGTTTTCTTCAGCCAGCCTGGAATGAGGCCAGCTCTATATTTATCCCGTCTAGATTTACACTTACTGGACCTCTTCAACATATGGCAGAGCCACTACCAGAACAGTATCAGGACATTATCAAAGTAGGAGGGCAGCAATAAGTCTCCTAAAGTGAAATTAAATGATATGACCACTAAGCTTGTTTAAAGTGTGTTATAGGAAAAGGAAACATTAAAGTCACTGTGTACATCACTGGTCTTGTGTAGTTATCAGTATCACCTTGTTCTGACACTGACAATCATATCTGTGTCCAGTGAATACAGTCAGATGGTGTTTCTGATCAGTATGCTGCTGGTCACCCGCTCTGCTCAGACTTTCTATATGCTGCTGTTATTGTATTGATTGATTTCTCCTCCGCAGCCTCACCTTCTCTTGGTCTCGTTTCTTATTACCATATATGGTGATAGCTTCTCTCGCTTATTGCACATTTTGTGTATCTCAGTAATATGTGTCTGTTGCATTCTGAAGCCCTGCTGGGTTTATTGTGTGCTGAATTCTGTACTGCTTCTTGGATATACTGAGGACCACCCTTATGGGCAGAGCTGATTCTGCTAAATAAAAGCATATAGCTATTTGTTGAGATACATGGTCCTATATCATTTGATATAAATGTCTCTGACAGACATAAAACACACAGAGACACTCCCTGGCTCTGGCAGTACAGCTGTGACACTGCCCTTAGTATATTGTAAAGCACGTATATCTATGAAATTTACAATATAAATGGCTTACAGGATTATTTTTGAGTTTTAACAAGCAAGACACCGTAATTTAAAGGTCCAGTTTGCAGGATCTACGAGGATATAACTATGTTTTCATTAGTGTATAATTATCTGTAACAAGAATCATTTTGTTTTTGTTACCTTAAAATGAGTAATTTATATCTACATATGTAGCAGATCCTTTTCCACGAAGTCCACCATGTTCTACAGTAGCCCAGAATGGACAAACCAAACACTGGCTCCAGACCACTGGTGTGCTGTGAGATTTTATGATAACCACACATTATTATTGCGGTATTCAAATGAACCTATACAAAAAGTTGAATTAATTTTTAATTGACTGTATCGGTATGTTGTGTGCACCCTTTTCCCAATAAACAGGCAAACTCTAGCTAAAAAAAAAAAACAAAGTAATTTAATTTCATTCAATTTTTAAAAAAAAACCTTCACGGGGAACCTATTTGTCGCCATTCATGCATGGGAATTATAAGTGTGTGACACATCAAAAGCCCTGATTGGCAGCCAGTGTGAGGGATGATAACAGTTAAAAGGAGAAAGCCGTTGGTGGGACAATGGCTCGCTTTATGTACACAGCAAATTACAACAAAGCACCAGCAAAGATGACCTACCACCGAAAGAAAAGAGAAAAAACGGTCAGTAGACAGTATCATGAAAGCTACCTATCTTCTTTTTCTTATTTTTATTGTGTTTTGTCATGATAAGGGTGATAACACATACAGAAGCTATTGCGTACATACATGTGTGCCCTGAGATTTTGCCCTTTGGTGTGCCTTGAGCACAAAAAGTTTGAAAACCACAACTCTAGACTGGGTTGTTTGTGTTAACATGTTTTCATGATTTCATGTTTCCCATTTCTCCTACATGCTTAGCACACAGGAGAAGTTTCAGTTGGTTGCAATTTGTCACCTCACTGCTAGATGGCACTAAAACCTAGACAATAGACCTTTAAGAGATAATAGTGGCCAGGCTGAGCACATGGGAGAAGTTTTCCTTGTAGGCTTTCTCCAAGAAAGTCCTTCATCGTCCCTTTCTGGTAGAAAGCCCCAGAGGAAAATTTCTCCCAACTGCCTAGGCTGGTTTTCTAGGTGACATTCAGTTTGTTCTTAAAAACTGACTTCATAAAATAACCTATACAGGATCTGTTTTAATCCTATCCAGGGAAGCTTTGCTGAGACAGATGTTCAGGCATATTTTAAACAATTGAAAGCTGTTGACCACCAGTGTGTTAACAATGCAATTATGACATGTAAGACAGTACAAAATGTCTCTTTTTAAAAGGAAACTGTTCCAAATGGACAATGGGAAAAAAATCTTAAGGGAATACAGATGAGGATTTGAAATGACATTCACAGACTTGGTGTAAAGTGACTCTTTAACGTACGATGCTGTGGCTATCTCCGCATTCAAAGCCATGACTGCTTGCATGGTGGCCTCCATTGGTGACTGCTGTTTTCATGCCTGCATGTCTTATGCATGAGTGTAATTCTGCTCTCTAAACTTAATGGTAAAACATTTGCTTACTGGAAACAAACTTATAAATTTAATAAGTAATCTAAGAAAATGGCTCCTAAGAGTTTCAACTATACTTCATCCAGAGTATTCTCTACCCTTTCTGTTGTCCTCTAGCTTTGCTAAATGTTTTTTTAATGTCAGCTCAGCATGTATGGTCATTACTGTTCAAACATCAAGTATTTGCAATTATCATGAAAAACAGTAACATAAATTACACTGGAAAATGCGAAGTTAAACACTTTACAGTTTCTTTGACAAAGAGCAGCCAGCTGACCAAAGACCTTTCTGTCAGTCAGTATAATCCCTTACTCTATTTGCCCCATGATATCAATGGGAGAATCACTTATTCATGTCTTGTGGACAGGATGGATTAATTTGCTCATTTTCATTTGGGTTGGGCAGTATGATTCAATATAGACTCACTGGAGCTGCACTGGAGAAAGTTAGCACATGACTGGGATAAGCTGACCATTCTTCACGCTAACATCTAGTGTCATTAGCTTTTTATCACCTCCCACAGGTCAGAGTAACTGCAACTGGTACGACATTAATTTGGTGTGCTTGATTTGCTAAATGAAGAGCACCAGAGGTCAGTTATTGTAAAACTGATAAACTCCCTTTAAACGCATAACTGCTGCATGATGCTAGACACGCAGCTTTGTGTGTATATATGTTTACCTGATAATTAACATCCCTTTATTTAATAATAATAATAAGGGTCACCTTACAGAACAAGTAACAGACAGTTAAATTTATAAGGGGTAAAAGACATCAAACATCAACACAGTAAAAATGTGAAATCTGCAGCAGAGCAATGGCAATTAAATGGAATAGGCCTGTTTATTTGCTGTAATGAGTGTTACTTGGCTTTTTCAGTCTTCAGCTTTAGAGAATGAAAA